TGTCTTCCATAACGGCCTGGAATGTCAACACTATTGCAGCTACACCACTGTTTTTTGGGAACTGTCGACCTAGCACAAGGCTTAGTAGTGAATGTTCTAACACTGCCCACACTGCAGTCGTATGACGCTCTCTGAGATCTTCATAGAAAGCTAATGCTGGACTGTGCCTCAACAGTTGTGACATGAAGATACCAAAGGCGAGAGCTGCTAGATTATTGCTCGAAATATAGGGAAAGTTGATTGTTCAAAAGTTGAAGTCACCCTTTTTGTCAACCAGTCTTGTTCAGACATCTCTGTCACTCTGAGTCTTTATAATTAGATATAAATAACAATAACAACTAAGTTATTTCCATTTTGTGTTTTGTGGGGTTCTTGCGTTAATAATCTAATAATTAGTTCCTGGCGAGCACAGCGCGTCAATTCACCAACGTCTCCATAACAAAAGAAAGTTGTAAGATCATGATATTGGAAATATCGATTTAAAAATAAGAATCATTACATGTTATTAGCAACTCATCCCCTGGTGAGAGGGAGTGTTGGCATCGATCAGGGTAGCAGGAAGAATGATAAATATTCAGTGTGCAGGTGGTAGATCGTTGTAGCATCACTACAACCTTGACACCTTTCAAGGAAGTAAGTTATGCAGAAACAAACAATAGCAGAACAAACGAGGAAACAAACAATGACATGAAACAACAAATGAGTTCTACCAGCGCCTTCGTTGATAAATGTGAAATAATTAATTGTATTTTAAGTGAAATATCATGCTTGAAGTATTACACGAAGACTTGGCTGATTGTTACCATATATCAAATTCACATTGCCGTCCATGCCTGTGTCATGTTTGGGAACATTAAGAATGGATATCAAACATTGTACTCATGTGTGGGGAATCGAACCAGGAATTGGCCGGCGCTTTAAAGGAAGTCATCGAGAGTTGTTTGCAAAAGCGGATTATTTCCAAAACGAGGCTTACATCATCATCGTGTCTGTTAACGGCAATGGGTTTTTTTCCTATACAGGTACCTACTGGTAGTCGTGTGCAGGAAAGGACGTATTGGTGTCACGTGTTACTTTAGGTCTTCCGGTCTTTGAGAATCGCTCGAGAGCGCCCTTTAACTCATCAGCCCTGTGTTTATTTTGGTAAATATATCTACCATAGATCAAATTCAGCTAGATTGACGTAAATGTATGTCTCTTCTGTGCTACCGTGACTACCCTTGTATGTGTATATCAATATCATCATCGCTACCGACGTGCTGGATTAACGTCGAGACCACGAGTAGGCTAATCCCAGCAACCAGGAAGCAAGCGTACACAATTACAGTACTCCCGTTACCGCACTGCGAGGCACCAATGGTCACGCTAAGTGAATTTTATGAATTATTTGCCAAGACTTGGAGCATATTGTGGTGTGATAGGTAGACGGTGCCTTGACAACGTCTGTTTGTTTCATACAGTGCCGGTGTCTGGCGATTCCAGTATGTCGGCTATGTCCATGTGCTCCTGCCGTTACTATCGTGACAATCTTAATGGCAATCTTAGTTTATGATCTTCACAGATTGATCTTCCCACACAGACGCTCACAATGGTAAAGTCTTTTTAATGCAAACATATGCCTGTTTCTGTCTTTGACTCACAGGGCGGTCGGGTAGCCTAGTGGTTAAAGCTTTCACTCGTCACGCCGAAGACCCGGGTTCGATTCCCGACATGGGTACAATGTGTGAAGCCCATTTCTGGTGTCCCCCGCCGTGATATTGCTGGAATATAGCTAAAAGCGGCGTAAAACCATACTCACTCACTCACTCACTTTGACTCACACGGGATGTGTCTCGTAGACCATGTCTGATGCAGACAGGTTTCTGCGACTTTTTCTACGGGTTTCGTGTAACGGGAGTGTTGTGTGTCGTTAAGCATCAACCAAAGACTTGCCTTTTTATGCAAATAGTGCGAGTGGCAGGTGTTACCGGTTGAGCAGGACATGCTTACCCTTTAGCGAACACCTGGTGTCATCACCGATTGTCAGTGACCCATTCATATACTAAAAGCTTGGCGCCAAATGGAATCTGTATCGCCGGGTGACTGATGCTCTCTGGCGTTGACTTTTTATATTTAAAACACTTATTCAATGCGCCTGCACTAAGATGATAATTTTACATTCTGAAATATTTTTTTCTGATATACTCAGATATGTAAGAATTCATCATTAAAATAGTCATCTGGAAATAAATAATGGTAATACCGTATTCCTCACACAAGTCAGAACCGTTTATCGAACCGTTTTTTATTCCATCTTACTTTCTCAATTGGTAGTCGAGAACACGAAGTTATACTTTATGACATCTTCAGGTAATGTTGCCAGTCCAGTTTTAATTGATAACATTCAAAGTTACTTGAATTGTTTGATAGGCATTACTTAGAAGTAATTTTATGGATAACAACTTCTTTAATACTGTAAAGGCGACGTTTCGGTCAAGATCATCTACTTTGTCATTCCAAGTTACATGGGATGAGACCGGTGAAGATTCCGGGGTAGAATAGGTCTTCAGCAACCCATGCTTGCCGGTAAAAGGTGACTATGCTTGTCGTAAAAGGTGACTATGCTTGTCCTAAAAGGCGACTAACGGGATCGGGTGGTCAGGCTCGCTGACTTGGTTGATGTATGTCATCGATCCCAATTGCGTGGATCGATGCTCATGATATCAATCACTGGATTGTCTGGTCCAGACTCGATTATTTACAGACCGCCGTCATATAGCTGGAATATTGCTGAGTGCGGCGTTAAACAACAAACCAACCAACATGGGATGAAGTTGATAGAAATTATGGAACAGTTTACCTAAGTAGTAGCCCAATGTAGATTCTAAGCAGATTAAGATAATACCCACTCTGTCTGACTGTACACAGCAGGTGGCTATCACACAACACATAAGCAAAATTAATTATGTAATTTTATACAAAGGTTTGAGCATCAAGCTCACAGCTCACGCCAAGGTTCTACCAGTCTACCGGGCTTACACAATACTATTGACATATACAATACTATACTGTTGATATATATACAATACAACATGTAATTGACTGAAACAATAGAGGTAATGGTATACAATACCACTGGTAAGGGGATAAACGGGTTTGGGGTCTGTCAGGGTGTTTGGTAATAACACTGTGACGTCAAAAGACCGCGATGTGAGAAGGGCCTAATTATGCACATTGACATACAATGACACTCGTTAGTCAGGACCTCGTTAATGCGATCGATTCTCTTACCCTGATGGACGTGTTTTTCATATATACAAAAGACAATTTCATCGGAATGGTGCCGTCCGGATTAAAGAGGTTACTTTAAAGTGCCGACATGAAAGTTGTTATTCTTACTGCATGGTCAAATTATGTTTACAAATGCTGTCATTTGATATGAATATATCTATGATGTTCTCGAGCACCACTGCACACCAACAGCAAAATATGCACATAATTATGCACTTCTAGTAGAACATGCTTTTGATCTATGTTAAAGGTCATCATTAGCTACGTACGTCACATGATACCAGTTTCACACGAATCGCCATACACATCAAATTCAGCCAACTTTACCATACCAAATATTCATAACAAACTTTTTTCTTTCTGTTTTGTAGGGTCTGCCGGGGACGGGGGTCGGTGTCCTTGTTGATGTCGGTGTTGCTGTCAGGGTTTTGCTCAGCGTCAGGGTAGCGATCAGGGGCGAGTTCAGTCTCGGTGTCGGTGTCGGGGTCGGGGTCAGAGTCGGGGTAGCGATCGGGGTCGTTGTCGGGGTCGGTGTCGGGGTCGGGTTTTGGTCGGATCGAGGTCGGAGTCGGGGTCGGAGTCGGGATCGGGGTCGGGGTCGGAGTCGGGGTCGGAGTCGGGATCGGGGTCGGGGTCGGAGTCGGGGTCGGAGTCGGGGTCGGAGTCGGGATCGGGATCGAGGTCGGAGTCGGGGTCGGAGTCGGGGTCGGAGTCGGGATCGGGGTCGGGGTCGGGTCTTGGTCGGATCGAGGTCTGGGTCTGGGTCGGTGTTGGTGTAAGGGTTTTGGTCAGCGTCGGTGTGGCGGTCATGGTCGGAATCGGGGTGGTCAGCGGTGGTGCTTCCTGTATACTGAATTACGTCCCCAATTCGTATTCCATCCGTCCACGAATTATTAACATGACACTGTGTTAAAACACAAGACAGTTCGGTTGTTTTTGACAATGATTCGTGCCAGGAAAGAACCCATGAAACAATCCATTGTCAGTATCCCTACAAGACCGCCTCTGTGGTCTAGTGGTAGAGCGTCCGCCTGGAGAGGGAAAAGTCCTAGGTTCCAAAAGACGTAAAATATGGTACTTGTTGTTACCCTGTCTGGCACTCGGGATTAAGGGGCTAAAACAAGGACTGGTCGGCTTGGAGTCAGTATAAAGTGTCTGAGTGGGGTACAACAACAACAACAACAACAACAACAACAACAACAACAACGACGATAATGACGATGACGAGAGGTTAAATTTCGAGACCAATTAGACACTTGCTTGATAAAGGTGTTAGGATCTACGCCGAAACGTCGCTCTAATTGTAATAAAGAAGTTGTTCATCCATAGAACTCGTCTTACTTTAAGCAAAAACTAACACTTAACAACATGTTAAGTCCAATACTTGTTGATAAAAAGAATTAAATATCTTTTCTATTGCATATTTGTCCCACCTTGTGACAGGAATTTTCACGCAAAAATCAAGAAATGAAACTGTTTACAATTGTTTGACCACCCCACACGGCTAGTGATGTTCCTATTGTATATCAAGAATCAATTTACACTTCCTTGTCCAACATCGCGTTCAGTGGCTCAGTGATCTCCCCCACCGAGCGCTTGTTCGACATGGAGATACATCACAGACAACGCCTATTGCAACACGGTCTGAAGACCCTATGTTCCAGAGAACACCTAATCCGCGTAAGACATATGATATTATGTTAATACATGAACGGGATCACAGCTTTGTTCACTGTCGGGGGTCGTCAGCCGTGATACAATCAATCTCTTGATTATCGACCGATTCGCACATGCGCAGAACTAATTGAAACGACGACGCTATACCCCGCATTGTTGTGTGGACCTGACAAGGAATGGCCAGACATACCTGGTAGTTAATCTGAGTATAGTTTCCAACAAGGTAAGGGCATTTTGTTGCTTGTCTTATGTTGTATCTATCTACCTGTGTAGCGTCTTTTGATCTTACCGTCAAAACGTGATGATGGAGATGAAGACGACTATTGATCACCTCCCCGAAGATAGGTAACAGAAGTAAAGGTCAGCATGACCTCCATATAGATCACCTGGGATACTCAAAGACGCTGAAGCTTTAGGAGACAGTCGTTCTACGCGAAACACGTAGTTGTATTTTCTGCCGATGTTAAATGTGTTACCAATGCTATGACCCATATCTTATTTTCGGGTCATGAAGAAAACGCTACATTGTATCTACATATGTGTATTTGAGTATGTGAGAACGTAGAAACGTATTTTTTTACATGAACCAGGAATGTTGCTTACAGGTAAATCTCGTGTCTCGTTCAAAAACACATTTGAACAATATGGTATGTTAAAATGTTCATAAGTAAATCTCCATGTCTTATTCAAAAACCATATGGTGTAACTAAGAATGCATATAAGAACATATTCCTGTCTCGTTAGCAAACACTTATTGCCATAAGGTATTACGTAAAACGCTTTTCAACTGATTGATAAAGTCAAAGTGATTTTTAATAGTCGGATAGTGTGTTCAATTAAATTAAATCAGACTGATATATGGAAATTAGCTCGAGATTACTAAATTCACCTGTTTAAACATGCCATTCGACGATTAACAATTAACCTCATTGTATTGCCGCGGTAACAATGCTACATAAGCTTTATTTAAGCCGTGTAAGTATGTGGGTACATAATTCCTCATCCCCATGTGACGTGTTTCAGTAACGCTTCAATATCCCCCGATATAGCGCCAAACCTCTAATAATAATAATAATAATTCAAATACAATGCGCGTTTTATTATTATTATCATTATTATTGACCCTAAATACCAACTGTCCCCTTCATCTTAACCTTGGCGCGGCATTTAACCAAACAGGGATAGCTATTCCTTTGTTGCATAACTGTTGCCATGACAGCAATAATAACCGCATATGTATTACCGTTATCACCATGCGCTGTAGATGCTCATCTCAAAATCAATCGTGATTTTTTAATCCCGTTGTGGGCATTTGTGTTTCATTTCCGTTTCTAAATGTCTGGTTGCAGATTAACCCATCGTCTGTCGCACAGTCCCTGAACCATATTATTTTCCCTTCCGCTCAGCCCTTATTTAACCCCTTGTGTTGACGTCACGCTGATGCTGTTACAGCTGATTCTGAGCCAGACATTCACTGACCATTTTGAACGTGAATTTTATCAAGTAAAACTGACGCAAATAAAGGTCATTATGCAAAATTATAGATAAATAATATCAAGCATAACATGGTTTAAGTCGGAGAAATTACTAGAATCTGTTGATTCCGAAAGTAGAATGAAATCGGGGGCCATTGATTCTCATTAGCAATCAAAAGATTCTCTTGAATTCTCCATTACGTATTGCTATAGCAATAAATGAAGCAAGTCTAGATTTCCCACAGGTTCAGGTTCTGAATCTCCCATCTCACTGGGGCTCCTTTTCAATTATGTAGTTGCTTGTTTCTATCACAGTGTTAACAACAAATATCTAATTTTGATCCCGAAAAGTGAGCACATTTTAAAGAAGTGTTATCACACCGACTCTTTCTTACATTGATACCATTATCTGGACCCTGTGAAGATTCGGGTTTGAACTGGACTTCAGCAACCCATGCTTGTCGATCGGGTGGCCAGGCTCGCTGACTTGTTAATGATGTCAAGCATTGTATTGTTTGTTTGTTTGTTATTCAACGCACTCAGCAATATTCCAGCTATATGACGGCCGTTTGTAAATAATCGAGTCTGGACCAGACAATCTAGTCATTGACATCATGAGCATCGATCCAGGCAAATGGCATATGATCCCGTTAGTCGCCTCTTACGACAGGCGTGGGGTGCTGAAGACCAGTGTATCGTCTGGTCCAGACATGCTGGCCGCCGTCATATATAATATTGCTGAGTGCGGAGCTAAACAAACAAACAAAACAAACAAAACGTTTTATGTTTATGGCGAAACCTGATCCAACTCTTCGCTTCTCAACCCCATTTCCCCATACATCAGCGACTCCGCTGTCAACGTTGCGATCTATTATATACCTACCAAAGCTCCAAACTAAACAAACCTGAAACTATGGGTAAATATTGTCGTGCGTGACATTTTCAAACGTTAATTGCCTGGTTCATATACAGTCAAGTATTTGCTTGACGGCCTTAAACATGTGTATGCATGAGACTTGAGTAGATTTCGAGTGTGCGCTCTGCTAGCGGCCAGGACGGCTGTATCTATACACCTGTGTTTCCCTGCTCAGTTTTTACTTTGCCGTCTTAAGGGCCATAAAACAATCCCAATACGGCCTACGTTAGTGTTTCTGAGTTCTGCGAAGAGCTACTTATGTCCACAGAAGAAAGCTCTCATACATTCACACTTTTATTATGCCAATATATCTTAAAACATTTCTAGCCCGTGAAGATCCGGGTTGGCATAGTGCTCAGCAACCATGCTTGTCTTAAGGGGCGACTATGCTTGTCTTAAGGGGCGACTATGCTTGTCTTAAGGGGCGACTATGCTTGTCTTAAGGGGCGACTATGCTTGTCTTAAGGGGCGTCTATGCTTGTCTTAAGGGGCGACTATGCTTGTCTTAAGGGGCGACTATGCTTGTCTTAAGGGGCGACTATGCTTGTCTTAAGGGGCGTCTATGCTTGTCTTAAGGGGCGACTATGCTTGTCTTAAGGGGCGACTATGCTTGTCTTAAGGGGCGACTATGCTTGTCTTAAGGGGCGACTATGCTTGTCGTAAGGGGCGACTATGCTTGTCGTAAGAGGCGACTATGCTTGTCGTAAGAGGTGACTAACGGGATAGGGTGGTCAGGCTCGCTGACTTGGTCGATGCAAGTCATCGTATCCAAATTGCGTGGATCGATGCTCATGATGCACATTTCTATTTAGTTGACCTTGAGCTAGTCGAATTCTTAAGCCCCTTTTAACAATACTACAGCAATACATCTATCCACTTTCAAAATCGAGGGGCGGGGAAAATTCAAACTGATGGCCTATAAACGTCCAGCTTTGACTTGGTCTGTGTAATGACGCTTCTGCACGTTCAAAAATAGTACTATAATTAATGATTAGTGTACCACTTCTGTGTGTTAAATACAAAACTGTTTTCCTTAGTTTTAGTCAGGTTGAGAAATTGTCCCGACATTCACATTAGGACTGATCGTTTGCACGGAGAGCGGAAGGTCGGTGGTTCGATCCCCGGCAATGTCATACCGAACAACGTTAACAGACTGTGCTTGGAATTTAAAGGTACTGGTCGGCTCGGTGTCAGTATAATGTGTCTGGGTAGTGTATCTATGTGGCGTGGTATCTCAGTGGGGTAGCTCTCTAAGCCGACATTAGTCCGTGCAGGTACACGCACCCAAACAATGCATGCACGTCACTATACAAATGCAAAAAACTTAAACGCGACGTTATAATTTAAGACCCATTCCACCTTACCTCACCCATCAGGCTAAGAGACAAAACGGTCATGTGGCGAATTAAGAAGGTTACAACAAAGTTAGTTGAATATATACGTTTTATACCATGTGTCTTAAGTTTAAACTTATAAACAAATATTTATCAGTTGAAACCCGTTAGTCCGGACACCTCGTTATTCCGGACGGTTCCTATTGTAAACCTATGGTAATAACAATGAATCAAAGGTGGTTTATTTCAGACTGTCGTCAGCCACGGGGACAGGCTGTGTATTCACACGCTGTTATCATAGGGAATGGAGCGTTACTGTCCTCTAGGCTTATCGCTAACAGAACACATAGATTACATCAGTAGGGTCTTTTAATTACAAAGTTTACATTATTAGCTGTGATGGAATGTCGTACGATTACAACGCTATATTACTCTATGGGGAAGTCTGTTATACAAGAGGGTGGTCGGGTAGCCTAGTGGTTCGCTCGTCACGCCGAAGACCCGGGTTCGATTCCCGACATGGGTACAATGTGTGAAGCCCATTGCTGGTGTCCCCCGCATTGATATTGCTGGAATATTGCTAAAACAGGCGTAAAACCTCACTCACTGTTATATAAGATGGTTCCTGTATTTTGGGTATGTACAACCTGCCTTGTATCAATGATGAACAGAACTCTACAATGAGGTTGTAGCTGGGTTTGATACACATGCCCTTCCTTGGCTGTAGGTTGGGACATGACATGGATCCTACCTGTACTTCATAATCTTCCCGAGCAACAGCGTCCACTAGCTTTTTGTCAAAGTCTTTTTTATCATTGTCTTGTAGAAACAAGGCTTTGACATAGGCCAGTGGACACGCTTGCCTCGGGAAGATGGTGTTTCATCAGTGTTATCAGATTGTATAAACGTTTTGTTTTTTTGTAATCTGATCTAAAATCGATTCGCCCGTAAAATATTCATGTGGCGTAATGGCTCGACAATCAGATACAAGAGAAATCATAAATTTGTAAATCTTGGTTTGGAACCCTTTGTTCCACTAGACAATGATTTGGAATTTGATAGTTTCAGAGCTTAAACGCTTATCATTGCAATCATAAATTATGAAACCTGTAGATTCGTCTGACAGGGTAGATAATATACACAGATAATCTTGCCGGATATTAGTTAATGCGGACAATTTCAACAGTAAGAACGGTACCGAATTGAAAAAAAGTTTTGTTCTTTGCATGTTTAGAAAACAAGCCGAGGTATGATTAAACATGCACGTAGGTAAATATTTGATTGAAGACACGCGTGACAAACACCCCCTCATCGCGGACAAGACTCTGTTCAGGTGGTTAAAAACATAACGAAAGCCGTCGTATCACATCAGCCTTCCAAGTGAAATAGAATATGTTTTGAATGTCGGGAGACAAGACGTTTGTTATACACTTGTTTGTTCTTTTGTCAGATAATTGATTTGCGTTATACACGAAGTCCATCACACTGCCTGCCCCGT